ACGATGCCGGCGAAACTTCTGAGAATGTACCACGGCCACGCTCCTACTCTTAAAATGATCATGCATACAATGGACTGCTGACTAGGTGCGTTGCTTTAAACCTTCCTACCAATCTGACCAAGTTGCGAAAACAAGGTCAAACAACTTCTATACATTTATTTGTGTCTTTTAAAAAGATTTTAAGGATTTTAAAGTAGCATGGAGAAACGAGTGAGCGAGTGGACATATCAAGGTATCTCGATGAACAATCGAAATAGATACTAGCTCAACTCAAATTTAATTCAAATTAAATTTGTATGAACTGTAAGTGTGCGAAGACCAATCAAAATTTTGGTGTTCGAATCTTTCTTCGATATGATTGGCTGCCAAAAAGAAAATCTACTTAATTTTATGTGGATTCAGTCTTAAGATAATTTATTTTATCGCTTTTAGAATCCTAAATAAATCAGTGCCGAATTTTTTTCCCATGAAAAGTTTTAGATAAGCGGTTTGACGACGTTTTCACAACTGTCATCAAGGTGACCTAGATGAACACTCCTTGTCCTAAGTACGCAGTATGTATGATAACTTCCATCGTCGACCCATGGACTAGATATATCCCCAGACGTTCGCCGGCATCGTCAATGAGCTTTGCCACACTTAGTACTAGACGTTAGCTGATCAGTCTTCTTGACGTAGTGCTAGCTTGAAGATGTTACAAAGATGAGTCTCAGCTCTGACGATCTCCGTCATATGACAAACGGAAGCTCAGTCTGTCTTAGTCCGATACGATGGAGGATGTATTAAGGACTACATTAACATGAGGGTCCTATTAAAACCAAGTGACTGCACTACAACGGGAATTAGCCGTTGTCTTGTGGTGAGATAGACCCATGAAACTATTCAACATGTATTTTCATAAGAAATAAAGTCTTCACAAAACTATCATTAACCTGAATGACTTCAATGTGCATTACTTTCGAATGATTTTTGAATTAAGCTGATAAAGACTATATATGGGATCAATCAAGAAGTCTTACTTTAGTACTGAAATATAAATTCAACACGTTTTCGAAAAAGTCATCCTTATTTGGACTTAGGTGTCAAGCGCTGAAAACAATTTTGGACCACTTAAGTTTATAAATAAATACTTACGAACATAACTTTAAATAAACTCAAGACATTGAAAAAATACCCTTATAAAGTAAAAATTAGAGGCATATTAGTCAATGCAATTAGTGTCAGCACTTGAGAGAAAGCAAGAGACTCATGAAGCCTTCTTCGTAATGTAATACAAGCTGAAGTTGACAAAGACGCGAGAGATATAGATAATCCGGTTATGGACGCCGGTATGTAACCCAAATTAGATATAAACCTATCTGATATTGTTTTATCAACTTGATCATGCTTAGAGGAATGCCTTGAAGAAAGTAGTACCTACTGTATACTCCTTTATTATATTCAATATTTCACCTAACACCAATTCACTTATCTAGTATAGCCTCAAAAGTCATTTTGACATTTTTGAGGAAATCTATGCTCAATTCCAAGACAGCGTAAGAATTTAAAAATTTTCACTATTCAAAAATGATAAGAGACTTTAATGAAATCTAGTACTGAAGAGCAAAAAGTTGAGTGATTTAAAAATCGATATAAAAAAAGATTCTGGAAAAGAAGGATCCGAAAGAAGTAGTAAAATCAGCTCATGGATAGAAATTGAAAATAAATAATATCTACCAAACTCTGGTAGTCTCGATAACCAACTCATTTACAAATAAAGATTATACTATTGCATCATACTACAATAAATCGAAAAAATAATCTTCAATAGGTAGGCTATAGTTTGCCATGAGATGAGCGCAACCTATATTAAACACGAAAATAAACCAAAATACGATTTTTTTAAGTAATGACAATAAATTTATCGCACAAATTAATCAAATGGGTATAGGATATAAATACCGATAATAGTGAATAAACACTCTAGAAAGATAGTATGGTGTATAGAACCATAAATTTGAGATCAAACTAAATGTAGATAATAGAAATTTTATAAGTAGAAAAAAAACACTCAAGACCTGTTTGTGGAAATTTGCTGAGGTGAAATAGTATTAAAAGAACAAGTATATTTTTAAGTAGAATTAAGGTGTAAAAGGATCAGAGAAAAAATTTGATCTGAGCGCAATGTTTATTTTGAAAAAAAGATTCTTAATTAAAATTTTGGACAAATAAAACGATATTCATACGACTACCACATCTGGATTTGTAATAAAATATTTGGGCACGATTTATTTAACTGCTAGGAATTCGGTTTCGCAATATAGATTTAATGATCATGCGCCTAAACGCCTCAAGAGCAGAAAAAGATAAATAGGAGGTAGAAAAGGCCCTCTTTTATTAGATTAAGGCGGCACTTATGAATAATCCAAAAGAAATAATTGCATTATTAGAAGATTTCCCTTCTAGAAGGGAATGGAATTTGTCGCTTTGTGCTTTTCTATTGAATAATCGGTCTTAATAAAGAAGGCAAAATCCTCAAATAATTAGATATATATAGAACCACGGGATGCTATGGCATCCATCAAAAAGCGAAATTGAATAAGGATAATGATAAAATAGGTCTGATGCTAAATGTTTTACCTTTGATTAACTTCCGTATGACCTTCAAGATGATTAACCGATTCATTACTTTCTCTGGTTTTGCTATGATTCTCATAGGAATGCGCATCAGAGTCATTAAACGTGTGGCTTACAGACTCTATCGTCTTCGAAAATACGCCGCCCGGTGATCCAGCCCCGACGGCAGTGGTCATGTTTGTGAGAACGGTTTTTGGCTGCTGCAGTAGTGCTGCAGCAAGAGAACTTGCAGTTGCACCAACACTCTTAGGTGCCAAATACGAGGCTTCACCGCTGCTTGTGGTGGCAGACTCATTAGAGAAAGGAGACGGCCGTACGATATGGTTGGCGGAGCTACCAGATTGACTAGAGTGGTCAAAGTCGATGCGAGTCTTAAATATTGTCTCGTCCCTTACCGTCGCCTGTTGGATAAGATGGACGGGAGCCTGAGCCATGCTGACAGTGCTGGCTTTAAGCTCAGCGGCCATGCGCCGTGCCATAACTTCAGATTTTTTTACCAGGTTTTTGGGAGAATCTGGCGAAATTCGGCAGCATAAACAATGGTGAAAAAAAAGTGACAAAACAAATAAGCAATGAATGTCGAAAACAATAACAGAAAAACTTCTTTTTATTGGAATGAAATTCATGCATATTTGCGGGGCTTCTCAAAAAGAAAAGCAGAGCTAACAAAAAATCACTTAAAAAAAATGAGAAAACGAATAAATTTTAAGAAAAGATTGATTAGATAGAAGCACATCTAATAAAATAAAACACTTATAGAAAACAAAATAAGCCTAAAATAAAGCTAAGAAATCATATCATTAAGAAAAGTATAATTTGGATCAAGGCGTAGCTTAAGACTAGTCTAAGTCTC